AGGCTTGGACCCCACAGGTTTCCGCCTTGGAAAAACTTTGCCGCGGAAAGTTTTCCGGTACCCCACAGGCTTGCGCAAAGTCCGTGGAAGGCCTTTTTCATTTTCCAAAAGCCTGCTTCCGGAACCCCACACACCCGGAAACGCGGCCTCGGAAACGGCCCCTGTCGTGTTTTCACTCAGTTTCCGACCTAGAAAACACCGCGGGAGGAAAAGTGGCCGTGATTTTGTGCAGGGTAGCGAGGGCACGGTGAAGGGTAGCCTTCAACCTTTCCAAGGTCGCGGACGAAATATGGACCTCCCTGTGTCCGTTCGCCATTTGGACGAGGACCTGGTGCAAGGTCGAGCAGGATCCCTTGTCGCCCACTGCGTACGGCCGTTTGAAAGGGTACCGGTCCCACTCGCGGAGGGGAAAAAAAAAAAAACCGCTCTTTTGGTCCGTTTTCAAAATTTTGAATTTTGAACTTCCCCTTTCACGTGCAGCCTTGCTGCGGACATGCAGGCGACGTGGGCCAGCCGTGTGAGCTGCGGGTATCTGCTCTGCTGTGGGAGAGTACAGAAAGTTCGGCGACGCACGGCTGGATCGCAGCAGCCATATCCCAACGTCGGCCAATCGCCTTCCCATGCAGAGAGTTGGATTCCTCCATCGCCAACTTCGGCCTTGGTCCTCGCTTGCCACCTCTACATATGGTTTGGGTCGTCACCTGCTTCACGTGGCGAGGGTATCGGATGGCGGGTCCGCGGAAAGCCATGCATTCCATGCACGGACTTTAGCAGGCCGACGTGTCGACTATAGCAGTCGGCTATGGTGCGCCCATGCACCTGCAAGCGAGGTTATGACGTTGTTGCGCACCATCCGTTCGCCTGTCATATCCGGTTGTTGGAGAAGCTCGTCACAGGCGAACGGTGACATCGCCGCCGTCTTGCCTAGGCTTCCTCCTCGGGTGACGGTCCGAGCCGCGGAAGTGCGAGGGTCGGATGTGGTGGATGTTCGAGGGGCCGGCGGACAGCCCATCTTCTCGTTTTCGCCACTGCCGTTTCCGTTCCAGCTTCCTGGACGTGCACCCCCAGACACGTCGTGCCACGTGCACCATCGCGGAGCGTCTGCACCGACCGTCATCGTCATCAAAGGCCGAGATAGCTTTCGTAGTCGGCGGAACATCGTCGCTGTGTTGGTTTGGGCGTTCGTCGTGTGTCTTGGTCTCGCGGTATTTTTGTTGGTGGTTCTTGCTGTGTGTGTAGCCGTAGTTCTCGTGACCATCCTGTCACGGCGGGGCTGACCTTGGCTGTGGTGTGTGGGAGTCGGATCTTTGTGTGCCATGACAGCTATGGATGGCGGCAGTTTTACCTCGCAGTTGTACAGCGAATCGGGAGGGTCACAAGGCGTGGAAGTGTGTGAGGCTATGGACGCGCATTTGGAAAGCAGCAGATATCGGGCGAGCCTGTCGGCAGCATGGCAATACGTGCCGCACTCTCAATTGTCCGCTGACACACGATCGCAGTTCGTGGCACAACCCGCGCATCCCCGGGCCCCTTACGTCGTGGGGTCGATGGACTTATCATCACCCTTTCGCCGGGGGACGTACTTGTCACAGTTGCATCCTCACGTCACGCAGCCGGCCGTAGGTGGGACTGCCTTCCATTCTCCGCAATCACTTTCTGCATGGGGGGGATCTTCAAGGACGGACGCGGGGGCGTGGGGGAGTCATCCGCAGCAGTCGTCGCATCCATCACCACACCGGCCACAAGGTATGCCGCCTTTATCGCAGCCTGTTGTCAGCCGCGGCATTCCTGGTGGGGCCGACACCTATACGGCTGGTAGGTCATCTCCGGTTGATCAGGGCTACCGGCAACAAACTCCAATGGGGCCGGCTACCATTTCGTACCACGATGGAGGTGCAACTGCCCCTGCGCCAGGTGGAGGTGATCGCCAGTGAGGCGGTGCGAGCCAGGGAGTCGATACACCACCGTCGGCTGATTGCCGATCAAGGGACGGTGAAAGATTGTCCTTTTCGCATCCGACTGTAGGTGTGGACAGTGTTCCAACTCAAGGCGAAGGGCGAAACGGGTCGAACACATGTGCAACGCAAGACACAAGTGCGAGAAGTCGGGAAATTCAATGTGGCGTGGACGACGGCGGAACTGGTCGACTGCCGAAAGAACGTGGTGCAGGAGAACGACGACAGGGGGGGAAGTCCACAGCGGCGCCGAAGAAGAACACCCTGTGGACTCTAGAGGAGCGAGTGCTATTGGCCAAAATCAGCGGCGAGGACGATGCTCTCATGGGCGATGCAGAAGGTGCTCATTCTCTCATGACAAAGGGCAGGCGTTATGATTGGATAGCGGACCGCATGAAGGACGAGGGGTACGCACGCACAGGAGAGGATTGCCGAAAGAAATGGGCGGAGCTGCAGAAAAAGGTTCGGGAGATAAGGGATGCATGCGATGGATCGGGCAAACAGCCATACTGGGATGTAACAACGGAGGAGAGAAAGAAATTGAACATCCTTATGACTTTCGAGCGGCCGTTGTGGGATGCGATGGAGTGGTACCGCCTGAAGGCTGCTTTCACCATGGACAACACAATGGCATCTGAGGATTTGAGAGGGATGGGTTCTGCAGCTGGCAGCGAGGCAGGGTTTGAGGGCGGGGGAACAGAGACTTCAGGTGGCGCTCCGAAGACTCGGAGGACGAACTCCAGGAAAGTTCGTGGTTCCGATGTCGGGCAAGGTGTGACGGCGATGGCGGCAGCTATGGAGGACATGAGCCGAACACTGTGTGAAGGTCCGGACAGGGCTGCTAGGACGCCACGACACTGTGTTCCCCTTCGTGTTTAGAGCACATGCGGACGCCACGTTTTCCAGCGCTTCTAGTGTGCTGTTGTCTGCGTTATGGTATGGGGAAGTCTTCACAATCGGCGGTCGGGGGAAGGGGAGGTGGCAGCGAGGCGGGCTTTGGGATTGTTTGAAAATTGAGCTACGGGGAAGTGGCACGTGGAGGGGGGTGGGGGGGCGGTTACACGTCGGGGTTCGAAATTGTTTACGATTTGCGACATGACGGAAGTGCCACGTGGTGTGGGGGGGGGGGGGGGGGGGGGGGGGGGGGGGGGGGGGGGGGCGCGGGGTTAGACGTCGGGGTTCGAAATTGTTTAGGATTTGCAACACGGCGGAAGTGCCACGTGGCGGTCGGTCGGCGGCCGTGCTGTGTAAAACGAGTGTTCCATCGGTTGCCTGGATGTGATGGAAATAGTGTCGGTCTTGGTTTTTTTTTTTTTTTTTGCTCTCCCTCGCGGGCGGCTTTAGAACTGCTGCCGGATTTCTTCTATTGTGCTGCTTCCCTAATCCTGGATTGTTCTCAAACGAAACAGAATCCCGATGTTGTCTTTCGTACGAAGATGAAAACGAAGCTTGCCTTGCATTTCCATGGCTCGTTGTATGTTTGTGTCATTGTGTTTCAGGTTTTTTATTTTGCTCGTCGTGAACGCATTCGAATCATTGTATGTTTTTGTTGTTGTTTATCTTTTATTTTATTTTTATTTTTTATTTTTGTTTTTTTTTGTTTTTTTTCGTTACCTTTGGGGAATGCATGCTGGATGGGGAATCGCAACAACGAAAACAACAGAAGAATGGTGGCTGGAGTTCACTTTGGGTGATACAGACTCCAAATGTTGTTGACGCGCTGATGACGAGCGCTGATGATGAGCGCACACACACACACACACACACACACACGCACATGTGTATGTGTGTATGTGTGTGTGTGTGTGTGTGTGTGTGTGTGTGTGTGTGTGTGTGTGTGTGTGTAAGAGTGTGCGTGCGCTCATCATCAGCGCTTTCCAGCGAGAAGAAGAAACTGGATTGGACCCGAAGACCACGGGGATAGAGCGGGTTGTGTCAAGGGCGGATTCGCATCTCCGAAGGGATGTGTCCGCTCATCAGCAGTCTTTGTTTTATGTTTTAAGCGAAGGATGGAAAACCAACATTGCAACTTCTCGAAATTCGGGAATGAACCACCACTCCATTAATCAAGCAAACACACTCATAAGCAATCAACGAACGAATCAGTCGATCATGCATTCACACATCAATCAACATATGAAGCACATTATCACTTCGTTGATGGGTCATTCATCACACCGACCTCGAGTGACAGATTGAAGTTATCAGTCCAAAACACAAAGAGAGATTTTGAGAGAGAGAGAGAGAGAGAGAGAGAGAGAGAGAGAGAGA